CATAAGATAATAAATAGGCAAGCCTAGAAGCAATTTCTTACTCTTGGTCTTGCACGATAGAGATTTGTATCCAGAAAATGATGCATTTGTGCATCGTCATGATAATGTTCATTTCCTTGACTTTCAAAAAACATTAGATCAGGTACAGTTTGTTCCGGTAAACTAAAATATAATATAAAATAAAGAAAATTTTAAAATTTAAACAAATATAATAAAATCAACTTGGCAGCTAATAATTGCGAAAAATTTGCAAATGTATTTGATGGTCTTAAATTATTTCCTGATGGTGATATATGCATAGCTGCTGTTGATGGTGTTGGTACAAGTCCTTTTGATGTATCATGAACTTTCATAGCTGCTTGCATATTTATTTTTTTAAATGTTTGTAATAATTTAATATCCATTTTTTCTTGTGGTGTTTCACGTAATAACCAACGTTTAAAATAATTTCGATCTAGATTTCGACATCTAAAAATATTTTTGTTTTCAAATAAAAAAAAACACATTAAGAATTCTTCTTTTATTCTTTTTTTTAATCTTCATACTTATCACGTAATGAATTACTTCCACCACTACCAGATATTTCTTCAAGACAAGTCATTACATGATCCATCATCTTTATAAATGAAAATAATTTAATTGAAATTAAAATTTAAAAAAAAAAAAATTTATGCTATACTCGATTTGTTAATTTAGCTGACATTGTTGGTTCTTCAATCTGTTTTCGTCGTACATTAAGACATTTAACAAGTGGACCAATAGTAATACCCTAATATATATATATATATATTTGTAAATTAATGTATTATTCGTTTTTTTTTTATTTTTAAATTTTACTTGAACAAAAACAGTAAAAAAGACAACAGCAATTGTTGCTGTAACAAATTCTTTTTTTCTTGGTATTTTGGCTTCATCAAGAATAAGAGCAAGAGCAAATGCAATAGCACCACGTAAACCACCATAAGACATAATCAACATATCAATACGTGTTAATTCAAGTAAACGCCAACAATTAGCTAAATTAGCAAATATTGCTATACCTTAATAAACGACAAAAGAAATCAATAAACAAGATTATTTTACTATACAAAAAAAAAAGTTTTGTTTTTTTTTTTTCGTTACCAATAACTCGGAAGACGAGGCATGCAAGTAACGTAATAAGAACAAAACCTGTATTCCATGAATGATGATCACTAACTGTTGATAAACCCATAAACATAAATATAATTGTTTCCATAATACTTGATAACATTTTAAGAACATATTCTGTTGTAGCATCAGATTTTTTTGAAATATTAAATGAAACATATTGTTTCATAACCATACCACAAAATGTTATACTAAATAACGAAAAGTAAAATAATTTATTAATTAATTAAAAAAGATAACATACGCTAAAATGCCTGAAACTGAAACCATTTCTGATGTAAGATAAGCTAAATAAGCATAAACAAGAATAATAAGTGGTTCAAGAACAGGTGTATGTTCAGTAAATTTTGTTGTAAAACATGCAACAACACCAAATATAATTCCAATTAATACTCCACCAAGAGATACAACAAAAAATGATAAACCACCCAATATAATATCCCTTGGAATTAAATTTTCTTGACCAATTTTAGCAAATGAATCAAACATACGATAAAGAACAACTGACACAGCATCATTTAATAATGATTCTCCAAATACAACAATATATAGCATATCATTAACATGTATTTCAGTAAATGTAGCTAATACAGCAACAGGATCAACAGCTGATATAAGTGCAGCAAAGACAAAACAGGGTAACATTCCAAATTGTGTACCACCATAAAGTGGTGTAAATGAAAAACCCCATAATGTAAGACCAATACATACTGTATTAAATAGAGTATTGACAATAGCTAGTAAAAGAATTGTTCCCAAATTATCGAAAAAAGGACGATTTGGCATAAAATAGCCAGCTTCAAGAATAATTGGCTAAAGAATTTTAAAATAAACTTATGAAAATTTAAAATAATTTTTCAAAAAAAAATAAATATGTTTTTATCAACTATAAAAAGTTTTGTTAGTATGAAATTTTTATTGTTTATTAGAACAATATTGGACTGTTTCATTGTTGTATTATTGATTCAGTTGTTGTCAAGAACAAAAAATAAAGAAAACATTAAGTATTATTCAATTTATTTGATTTATGACTCTAATATAGCTTCATGCAAAACGATTCTATGATATATTTCAAGTTGTTTTGTTATCTGAGACTTATAAAGATAATTAAAACATTATTATTTATATCAATATTACAGAATGGGTTAGGATGGTTCAAGTATCTACTGAATTAAAGTCTCCAAAATTTAGACTTAATTTAACTAAGTAGATTGATCAGATCTTTTAGATGATTTTAACTCTAATCTATTCTCCCAAATTTGGAAGGAAATTTTTATCGCATGTCTGATCATACACAAGGACAGATATTTCTAAGAATATAATTATTAAAGGATTTATTCAATGACGATGCCGTCACGATATATCATATATAAGCTATCAGCATCTGTATATACAAGGTTTGGTTGCATGATCAAGTATGATATACATAGTTTATCTCGTCTATTGACTTTTTTTCTCTGTCTTCGAAATCTATTTCACCATGTATTTTGTCGTCGTAATATAATGGAAGGTTATCTAATATGTAGAGTGCAAATCACTCAATTCAACTCTACGACCCATGAACTAACAAAAAGGTATAGAATGAAATTAAAATCCACCTGCAGAGTTTTACACTGACTGAAGAGTGACACATAGTTTGCAAAAAAGAAAAAAAAGAAAATTTTCCAACATCTCTGGTTCAGATCCTTATGTTTTCACCTGAAATGAGTCAATTATAAATCCTTAACTACTTATTAAAGTAGATGATGATATAAGATTACAAAAAAGAATTATTCTAATTTGTCTAAGACAAATTCAAACAAATCTAAAGTATACATTGACAAATATGTAATGTATACAAATAATAAAAATCATTATAATTATATTTCCAGAAAGGAAAATTCTTTTTTTTTCTTCTTATTCTTACCGGTAAAAGAAATAAGAAAAATGTATCACTATTAAGTACATAAGCTTTTTGTTCTGCTAAATGTGTGATGTAAAGTAAACCGCCGACAATAAGACCAAGAATAATTAAAAGGCAACTTTCAGGAAATTTTTCTGTTAGACGATGTGACAAATGAAAACCTAGAAATATGAAATAGTAATAACATTGAAATGTTTTTTTTTTTCTTTATGTGAAATTAAAATCTAAACAACATACCAACTTTAGCCAATGAACCAAGTAAAATCCATAATGTAATCGCATAAACATCTGACACATGGTCAAAATTAAATTCTGCAACATGAAATCGTGGTGGTTTTGCTTGATTATGTATATATGTTTGTTCTTTACAGTAATATTTATGAATAAGTAAACCCAAAATAAGAATAAGAATAATGCTATGTTTATTTTCGTACATTATAAATTAAACTGGACGGAACGAAAAGAAAAAAAATAAAGCTTAAATTTGATATTGTTATGTTCAATAATTTGTCTTCTATAGGACGTTTTTGTTTATAAACTCAACCTGAAACGAACAAATAAGAAAAATGTTGGTATGCCATAAATTAGCTTGTATGTATCTATATCTATACTGTTTTTGTCTATATCATAACAAAAAAATATTAATAGGAAAAGACAATCATGGTCATAGCATCCTTTCGAGCTTTCCTAACGTCAAATATAAGACAAAAATAAAAAAAAAAAAGCAAAATAATTTTAAGAAGTTAAATATACGGAATATTTCATCAAGTAAAAGAATGAAAGTATAAGTTTATTAAGTTAGTTTTTCGCATGTGACAATAAGTGGTTAATTCATCTTATCTATCTTCCAATCTTCGTCCTAATTACAGGCAAAATTTTAGCCTTCACCCATACTATCGGTCTGCTAATTTGTTTGACCTTCATTTGTAATCAAGAAGACACGATCTTTAATGTTTTTTCACTCACATAAAAAAAAAATTCATATAATTAAATACAAAAGAATAACTTGATTTTCAATTAAACAATAATTACATGATAATATGAGTTATTTTTTGAAACAAAGAAAGACAACAAATGATAACAAAATCTATGTCAACATGTGGGCAAAAAACGTATATTATATTGAAACTGTATCCAGTACTTGTTCCTCTTATTGCCATCGTCATGATTCTGTTTTGTCAGCCTATGCAAGACTTGACTTACACGATAGGAACCGAATAAGCACAAAAAATAGAAGAAAAACAATTACTTGTGCGTTCTCTCTGTGTGTGTGTGTGTGTGTGTGTGTGTTCTGTTTTCTGCTATAATAATAATGGCACATAAGGATATATGTGTTAGTCGTATATTGAATGAAAAAGATGTGTGTGTCAGGAGACCGAAAGATGGAGGAAGAGAAGAACAACAAAAAAAAAAATAGGCTATATTTGTTAAAAGAAGATCAGCAAAAAACATTTCTATTAATAATGAATTCTACTAAAAAAAAGTCACAGGGTATTTTCGACTGTCAAAAAGAATTCAATTTTCTCTTTGAATTAACCAGACAAAAAAAAAAATCTTCAAACTTCAAGGGAAAAAAAAACAGTATTTTCATGTTTCTATTTGATATTTTTTTTTTTACAGACCTTATTTTTACTAAGATAAATGCTAAGCTTGATATCACTTGTTGTCGATTCCAATTCGACATATAGATTATATTTGTCTAAAATAGAAAAGAAAAATGCTTATTTCTATTAATAAGCAAAGAAAAAACAAAATAAAACAAAAAAACTAAGTTTCCAAAGTGCATATTTGTTTTTGATTTACTTTTGAAAGAATACAAATGACGTCAATGAATTTAATCAGATAATGACAAGAGCATAAATACCGATCAAATAACAATAGAAATAACAATAAAATCAAGTGAGAAATAAAAAGATTTTTGATTCTACTTCCTTCTTAAACACTATATCTAGTCTTTGTCACTGTCACTTTCAGTTGTAAACTCATTGTCTTTAGCTTCATTATTCATTCCTTCATCATCATCATCACTAAAATCCCATTGCGAATGATTGTCAACAATTTCTTTAGCTTCTTGAACATCAAACTAAAATATTCAAATTTATAATACATTTTTTTTAAATCAAATTAATTTATCAAAAGATTTTCCATAATATCAACATCAAAATATGAATCAGATCTTAATATAACTGAATAAACATAATGACCAGGTCTTTTTGGTGCTGAAAATTTGACTTCAACCTATATGAAATATTTAAATAAAAAAAAAAAAAAAAACTAGTTAAATTTTAAGATACTTTATTTTTCATATACTTCTTCATCATCTTTTAATGTACACAAATAAATAGGTGCACTTATTAATGAATATTTTTTTTTTCTATCAGCAACATATAACCACTAACATTCTTGTTTAATCTTGTAAAGATAAATATATTTAGAAATTAAACAAGAAATAAAAAAAAAAAAGAATCTTTATTTAAAGACACATACTTCTAGATAAAATGGACAGAAAACTCGATGACTAATTTTTTGCTTTTGTTTCTAATTTTTCTCTTTTACGTTGTTGTTGTTGAAATCGTTCAAGAAATATATCTTCTTCATTTTCATTATGTCGAATTTTTGTTTTATTTGATAATCTTTGAAATCGTTGAAATATTTGTTCATTTATTCGATTTTCATCATCATTATTATTATTACTATTTAATTAATTATCACTTTCATTTAAATCTTCTTTGGTTTGTACACGATGTTGATGTAAATTTAATTGCGAATTTAAATAATATGAAAGAAAAGAATGTTGATCCTTTTATATTCGTTTACTTTTTTAATGTATTTACCCATCAGAATGTTTCGTTGAATCATCATCTAAATACGAAAAGAAAACGTATAAGTACGTAATATGTTCTTTTTTTTCTCAATTTTAAAACGAAGATTAATAATCCAGAAATTATGAATTGATTATTCCTAAGAAATAATTTACTCCGTAAATATTTTCTTTTGAAAAAGAAAAAGAAACAGAACGATTCATAGAAATAGAACGTTAGTATTTTAATTATATTAATGCAAGACTGTAGTGTAAAGAAAAGAAATTACCTGTCATATCGATTGTTGACAATCAATTAATTTTACTAAGAATAACATAGTGTTAAATGTTTAATGATGTTAAATTAACTTAAATTACATTAGTGAACAAAAAACCTAGCACAAAATTAAAATCAATTTTAATATCATAATCTACTCAAAACTAGAATTATTTAAGATAGAAATATATATATATATATATAAATGTGATTGTTTAGAAATTTTTCGAAACTTGACACATTCGATTCTCTCTCTTCTGATTGTCTTGTGAAAAAAAAAGTCGGTTTATAAAAAAAATTTTTGTTTTGAAATGAGACTAGTTTTCGCATTCAAAATCAAGATAAGATAACATCTACTGATAACTATTAAATAATAGATATAATTTTTCTGTATTAGTTTAATGCAAATGTTAGATCACATACTGCTAGAATCTTTAATATTATTTTTATTATTATTAGTATTTGCTAATGTTTTTTTTTTTTATTTGTTGAAATATTGTTCGTTTTCGAAGATGCTGAATATCCTTTCTTTCTTCCTTTACCCATATTAGTGTTTTTTTTTCTTTTCTGATTTATTATTCCAGCCTTTTGATTGAATATGCGCAGCTGATACTTTTAATGTTTCATTCGTCTGTCAAAAAAAAAAACATATGAACTTCATTAAAAATACGAAAAGAAAAATAAACAAAACACTTTCTTACTCTTGTCTCGATTTTCTTTATAATCAATTTGTTCTTCATTTCTTTCATTATCAACTGTATTAACAACGGCAGAAGTATTAGTACTCATTTTTTTTACTAAAAATAGATGCCATATTTTCACGATGTAAATGTATTGTTAATATCACAACAGTTCCTGTTGTTATTATATGTTCATCTTCATCATTAAAGACTAAAGAAAATGAAAATATAATACATTCAATTATCATTTGTTTTTTTATGTAATAACAAACAAATCTAACATAAACAATATCATATAAGTTCAGTTTACTCATACAAATGATTATTAAGATCAAAAACTAAACAAATCTCTTTGTCTGTTGAAAAATTTATACTTCTTTTTTGTTCATCAAAACTACCGATAAAATATGCTCGTTATTCTAGACTATAATCTTTCAGCTATAATCAAATTTAAACAATTCGGTTCGTGTAAACTATCTAGGTGGCAATCTATGCAAAATTTTCATAGAGAATAAACATGCAAATTTAACTATGGTTGGAAAATTGCAATCTAGAATAACAAAAGGTTAAACTGCGTGTTGTTTACGTACACATGAATGAATAACTAGAAGATTTTATCGGTACTTTTGATAGACTAAAAGCTTAGTTCAATTTTTGATAGAAATAATCAAGTGTATGAGTAAAACTGAATTGACATGGTATTCTCTATGTTAAACTCATGAGTAAAATATCGTGTTACTCGTTTATTTTATATTGTTGTAAAGAATCAAATACCTCCACATGTTACATTCATTGTTATATGTGAATAAATAGCAAGAACATTCATAATATCATAATACTGTTCGTCTGTGATACAATGTAACATAGAACGACGTTGTTCATCATCTATTGCAACAAATTGTCGGATGAATTTGATGGTACGCTGAAGAAAAAAAAGAAAAAGATTTTTCAAAAAATGTTTCAAACATATTTTTTTTATTCGTTTATTTACAAAAGTCAATAATCTCCTGAAACGAAAATGAAGCCTAATTTGAACGATGATGAAAATTGAGTCGAATTTTGTTGATTTTTAATAATATATATGAAGAACAGAAGATTATTATCCTACATAGTTAACTGTATGCTTCACGATAAGATACAAAAACTGTAGATAAGCTAACTTTCATTTAGGTTAAACGGAATATTAGTAATGTTTTTTTTTGTCTATTTCTGGCATTAGAGAAGGTTAAATAGAATGGAAAATGCACTCAAGGCACTAATATTTATATATTGCGATAAGGATAATTAAATAATATTCATTAGTAAGAAAATAAAAGTGTCACACCAACGTAACATATGAGAAATAAATATATACGAGTTGAGATGTATTAATTAATAGAAAAACAAAAACCTTCATTCCTTACATTACAAATTATTTTGGAAAATAATCTTAATTATAATTTTTTTTATAGATATTTAAAATAGAATACATACATTCATCGATATTACAAAAGGTTACGTAATAATTTTAGGTCAATAAATATTTAAAGAATTACATATTTTATATAGTCATAGTTATGTAAGATAACTATGATCTCGAGATTCTATGGAATTCAAAAAAAGAATATGTTTAATCTTGCAAAACTCTTCAAAATTTAGACTTTGTCTTCCGAAAGGATAATTTAAAATTTCCATAGGGCTAAATCAATTTCCGAAGCGGCACCATCCTTATACTAAATAAAACATTGTTTCGATTGAATAATAAAATTCCTGATCTTATTATTAAACTAAAACAAATTTCATACTTTTTTAGTTTCAAAAAAATCTTAAATGACTTTCAGTAATATGTGGTAATTGAAAAAGTGGACTTTTTGTATTTAACAATGCTTGTACAAGCATTGGTGATAATTTCATTGTATTTTCAATTGTATCAAGCCGTGGAGCATTTTTCACTATAATTAAAAACAAAAAAAAAAGAAATCTTCGAAATTCTTTTCTGTTAAACATACATCATCGAGCATGTCCCATAGCAACAAGTTGAGTTTCAATATTAATCATTTCATTAATTAAATATATCGATCGTCTTACAATGTATCATTTATCTAATAGAAGTACAAAATGAAAACGAAAAAAAAACAATGAAATTTATAAATATACCTTTTCCAAGATTATCACTTAATATATTAAGTTGATGAAGATGTGCATGAAGTAATGTACGTGCTTTTATACTATACGGTGCTTGAAATGGTCTCTCTTTAGTATTTTCTTGTACATCAGGTAATTCTCTAAATAACTAAATAATAAGAAAAAAAAGACATTTTTTATATTAGTGTTTGTTCCTTTTTTTTTTTATAAAACTAACCTTAGGTAATTCAGTATTATCACTTGGTTGATCAATAATAATTGGATTTCATATACGATCGAATTCAGTCGATGCACTTAAAATCATAATTGCACCTGCAGACAAAAAGAAAAAAAGAAATTCTGAAATTATTTGTCTTGTTTTTTGTATATTTTCATGAGACGAGGTTCGTAATTGCTCTACGCTGTTTTCTATGATGTATTTTTTTCATATATGGGAGACATTATTGTCAGAAAAATCCTAAGAGGATTCAAACTGATGAAGTTTATTTCAAAGATTATGGTCTTGAAAGCATTGTAAATTAATCCAGGACTTTTCCTTGTCAGTGTTTCTTTAACATCAAACAAACAAAGAAAATCTATCAGAGAATAAATGGATAAATATGAAAACAATATCATTCATTGTATACCATAAAAAAAGGATGCAACTATTACTTCGACTTTAAAACATACGTTTAATAATTATTGATGATGTTTTACTAAGAAATATCCAATAAAGATGAATAGTATTAATTAATATATGATCACCGGCATAGTGTGCTGATTTCGGCCACCAAACACACTTTTATAAACAAAGAGAAAGTTTTTCTTTTTTTTAGGAAAATAATGATCAATTTACATACAACAATAACTGGAAGTACAATCATAAATACACCAGTATAAATTAAAAGAACAAATATAGAATTATGATGATCGACTAACCATTTTGGTAAAACAATACCAAAACGAGTAACTAAAAATGAAATAAATTTTAAAGATGAAACAGAAAAAGAATTTATAAAAGACAAACCTCCTGGTCCATCAGGATTTGCATATTTTTTCCAATTTTCTTTTGCTTCTTCTTCATTAGTTAAAGTTTTATAAGCTTTAGCAGTTTCTTTCTATAAGAAAAAAAAAAGTATTATATTTCATTTATCATCAAATGACTAATTTTTTGTTTGTCAAAAAATTTCTCTACTTACAAATTGTTCAGGATCACAACCACGATCTAGATGATGTTTTTTACTTAATTCACGATAAGCTCGTTTTATTTCACTAACTGTTGATTCCTACAACATACAAATAACTTCTTTTATTAGATCTAAGAATGATACTGAAATTTACTCGATCAATATTAAGCACAACAAATGGATCATATTCTTTATGTTTAATTTCTATTAATGATACTCGATAAGTAAGAACTAATAGTATAATCCATGGTAATAAAAAAAAACAATTTTACTAAAATAGACAAAATAAAATGAAAAATTAGAATTTTTATCGAAATCAAATAAATTATGATGAATTTATCTTTGTCATTTTTTTTTATGAAGAAATTAGAGATAAGAAAATTGAAGTGATTCAACGGTCATAGTTTTTAAATACTGACTTTGGTTTGTAGCAAATTACTTTACTATTAGCTATGATTATAATTCATCGGAGAAATCCTTTAAGACCAATAGAAATTGAAATTGTATAAAAATCAACGGAAATTATTGTTTCCTCTGGCACAGTTGTTTTTTTCTTTCATGCACTTGCTTCAATTTTCCATAATCAAAGACAATTTTTTACATTGTTTTTTCAAAGGCTTTTCTAAAATTTTCTTCGAATGTTTTCATATATTTGAAAAATTTTATATATAATCTATTATATTCAATAGTTTGACAAAAGTTACACATCACTCTTTATCATAAGACTGTGACAGAATCTTATACCTGTCATTTATCTCTATTTTACACACATCATATTTAATCTTTTGCTTTTTATCTTAAGCCTCAAGAAATAGAGCAAGAAGCTTGTCGTTTACTATAAAAATAGATCTAAACTCTTTGACTTCTTAATTTAACATAAATGTCATTGATAATGTTGTCTTTTACACAGTAGAGTACAGTATGATGAAGATTTTTACGTAATAATATTTAAGAAAAGCTTGTAGTAGGTTATTCAAAAGTAATTTGAATACATTGCCTTAGATATTTTCTTTGCAAATGATTCGTTTGTTGTAAGTGACTTGTCGACAGTGAGTATTTCGGGTGAGCTGAACATGTCAATTTTAGGTAATATGATAGATTTCTATGGAAAGCAGACTTGTACAGTGAGTTTGGTCATTCCGGTCATTCTTGATTCTCATATCATTTTCTTAGAACAACAATCGATTCGAATACTTACAAATGATTTATATTTAGAGCTTTCTAAAAGAACTTGATGTTATAGAAGATTTGTAAACTGAACACGCTTAGAAAGTTAAAGATGTAGCATTTCCGTTTACTCCTATCGAAGTCAAACAGAATTAACCTCTTTTCCATGTGATCTACTTTTTATTTGTAAAACTATTATCGCATTTCACAAAAGTTTGGCGACCTTTCTAAAAAAAATCAGTTTATTTCAAAAGAAAACAAAGTAATAAAATAACAATATGATCGTTCAAAAGTTATATTAGACTACTTCTGGAATTAACTATATTCATTTACAATCAATTCACTATTGTGTTTTTTCACTAAATGCACTCTTCGAGGAAATATAACAATTACTCCCCACACATAAATAATATCAACTTTCTTTATTTTCTTTCTTGTCGAATATTGTTCATAGCTTTAACTCTATAATATTCTACATGATTTGATACGTTTATCCAGATAGAATAATCCACTAGATTAAATTCTCAAGATTTCGGTGACCACTTTTATTTCGCAATGAATAAATTGAAATTAGTTTTGCACCATTCTTGAGGAATTAGCTGCAATTTAAACGTCTTTTTCGGAAAAAAATATTGGCATGTCAGTCCATCCCAGTTTATATCTAATTCAATCATGACGCAAACCGGATATTATTTCATTTCATGTAATTTACGACATTTATTAGCATCGAATCGATTATAAATCCAGACAACGTCATTTTTCGGAATGAAAATAATCATTTTTTGTAAGTAGAATTTTTTCATCAGTAAACATCATTCTTCTCAATTTACTACGGTTGATATTCTCCCAAATTCATTAGCAATATGTTTGCCTGTTTAACTTTTAATCTTTTTTTAACTGTTGAACATCAATATTTCTGTAACATGTTTTGTTTAATTCATCATTGAGCACTCGCTTGATGTTTCCAGTATTATTTGTTAAATTTTTGACCATTGTTTATAAACTTTTTTTGGAGAACATTGGAATCAAGCCTTTTTACACCAAATTGATCACTTATTATATTTGGTCAGTTCTGGACCGTCGTGATTTTATTTTAACACCTATTGAATCAATTTGTTTATACCAATGTAGCCAGCCACCAATTGTACTTCGATGAACCTTATTCATGAATAGCTTTGCCATTTCTGACTGTTTTTTTTTCTCATTTTCGTAGTGAGAAATAACTACATATCGTAGATCATCATTGTTAACCATTTAGAAATCAACCAAAAGATAGTAAATAACAACCGATCAGATCGATGTAGGATATTAGTGTCTATGTCTATCATAGTCATATAAAATAAACTAGTTATTGCAACAAATGAATAGCATAGAATGACTTTTAAATAGATCGCAAAAATTTTCATCACACCCAGTATCAACTTAAATTCGAATATAAATATATGATATCTTACGTCAATGTAGCTCGTCGTCGTCGATTAGATTCATTTGCATGTAACAATTAATGCTTATAACGACATGGTGCAAAACTCGATGTATCTTCAGGATGTAGTGTACTTTCTAAATTTTCATAAAATATCATATATCCATGATTTTCTTGCTTTTGTTTCTCTCTTACTTTTTTTTTCTGATTTCGACCATAGGCAATAAGTTGTTGGTACAAGAATTAATAGATAAAATGATTAAAAAAAAAATAATAAAATTTGTCACCATTTTCATCATACTAAAAATTAAAAAAATGACTGTAACTAACCTCAAATTTCATTCCTACCATAATATTCTCTGTCTGTTTTTCTTCTCTATTGATTAAATATTTATCAATAAAATACCATTAGTTCTTCTTCATTGTCTAGTATATTCTTGAAAAACTAAAGAAAAGAAATGCAAATAAAATATATAGATAATAATTTTCAAGCACAAATATTTATTTGATTTAAAGTCTGGTTTGTTTTGTTAAATTGAAATAAAAAGATTAAATTAAACATAAAACAATGACAAGAAAAAAAAAGCAAGCAAACATTTAAATGCACTAATCATTCTTTTTTTTTTTTTGTTTTGTTCATTCTAACGAAGAAAACTGAATAGATTAAAAAGAAATATCATTACAACAACAAAAGAAAAAAAAATCAGACATATTAGATATTTGTATACTTTTTTGTTTTTTGTAAACAACAAGGTAAAATTTTGTAGTAGAAATTGAAAAGAAAAAAAAAAAAAGAAAAGAAAAGCAATAGTCTATTTTATTTTGGCTTTGTTTTTGTTTTTGTCCACTGTGTACTAAATCAATAAATATTTTTAACGATAACCTTGAAGTAATTGAACAACATATTTCGAACTAATTTGTCCAAAATGTGACTTTAAATATTCTCGACCACCATGTTTAAGCCATTCTTGTTCAAAATCATGTTCAAGTATTTCAGCACCTTTTTTCGATGTTAATCCTGTTTCATCTAAACTTAATTCACACATATTCATATCATCAACACCAGCAACAAGAAGTACGGCTTCTTTATTTGGATGTATTTCCATTTGACGAGCAATCCATTTATCTAAGAATAAAAACAGCTATTGATAAAAAAAATTCAAAAATCAAATATTTTATCTTACCATCAAAATGAGCATACCACCATCCTTTCTTTTTTTGATCGCTATGTGGATCTCGATTTTCATCATTTGGACGAATAAATGGAATACGAAAGTATCGTTGTTCAGCTACTTTACCACTACCAGTCCTTTTTGAACTAATAGTTGTTAATAATTGTCCAGTTTTTTTCATTGATCCACTTGATATCGATGTGCCACCAGTCAATGAAAGTGGAACAACTTTGAAATATAAAATATTATAAATTATACTTGTTTGCTTATTACAGATAGACGTAGTAATCGATATAAGCTCTTTTTATTTAAATAATTAATAGATAAATTTAAAATGAAAGCCTACATATATAAGACTAACAGATAAAAATTTGATTAAATTTAAAACTTAGAACGCATAAAAGAAATTCATTAATTCAAAAACAAAAATTTTTTGCAATATGTTAACTTTTTATTGATATCGAAAATCATAGATTTTATGTTTTTCAGTTAACTGTATTCATGTCATGTAAATCATGAAAGTTTTCAAGATTCAATAATATTGATAGGCGGTTTTTCATATAGTGAAATAAATCGCAGTTAATCATGATATTTCAAAAACAACGATACAAAAATAATTCGTATATTTTTATTTCTGAAAACAAAATTTGTATCATTTTGTCTAAACAAATATTTTTAGTAGTTCCTGGGCATGATATCTATTGGAAAAGGTGAACTAAATATTTACTGTCTTATTAGTTTCAACCAATAAGAATACAAGCATGACTATTTTGTGTTGTCAAGTCTTGTATAATGCATCTTATTTTATTAGAAAAACTATTTTAATCTACAATCGTTTCTATTATTTTCATTAAGATCAATGTCAAGAACGAATTGCACATTAAATACAATTTTACAATATAAATTATATATTGTTTTTATTTAGATTGCTCTCGATTATAATTTCATCAATAAATATGACTGAAGTAAAAAATTTATATTTTAATATTATATGTAAGAAGAGGAAAGATAAGAATTTATCTCTCTCTCACTTATGAGACTACATCAATAAACGATATCATATACAAAAGTTATAAGTCTCGTCTTAGTTTCCTAAGAAAATTCTTAGAAGATCTCTACCATGATTCTTCGAGTTTTTAATGGATTTCTCGGATATACTTTTATAAAAAATTGACGAAAATGACTCAATCATGCATTTTAAAAAATTGTAGCTTAATCGTGATTAAATATGATGATTTTATTGACATAGGTCATCATATTGAACAATTCGTTGTAAATTATATTTCAAAGAACAAATCTTTTTGCATGAACTTTCAGAAGGTCTTGTATGATGGCTGTCTTCTAAATCTTTAATTAATTATCGTTTTGAAACATTATCGTGCATTTATATTGCATGGAACTCAAAACGGAACGATTATATATCAGTGTATGTCTAATTTATTTAATATTTTATTAATAAATAAACTTACTATTATTTAAAATATCCTTTGGAGCTCGTTCTTCGTCTTCATCTATTTTATCATCTAAAGCTGATGGATTTTTTCCTTTTCGATTTTTTGATTTCCATGCGTGATAAACTTTTAAACGTCGATGAAATTCTTCTTTACAAGCTTCAAGTAATTCCAAATCTATTGAAAATATAAATAAATAAAATATTCTAGTTTCTTTTTTTTCCTATTGTGATTTATTTACCACAAGATGTATTAATTAAATCTCGTAATTGTGCATACGTATGTTTACTTAAATCATGTTTTTGATTAATAACAGGACGACGTGTTCGTTGTAAATGTGGTAAATCAGCTTCACCACCTGTTTCTAAAGCAAGACGTCGTGCTAAATCATAATCACGACGTTCACGTTCATTCATTTCAGCTAAACGAGCTTCTTCATCGGATTCTCTTGCTTCACGTTCTTTCTATAGAAAGATATTTAAATGAATGTTTTATTTTTTTTTTGATTCGATGACATTGAATTTTTTTTAAATTTCTTCTTACTTGTCGTTTTGTTTCTTCAGCACTAAGTTTACCTTTAAACTGTTCTTCTTCCTTTTGACGTTGAGCAATAGCTGAACGTCTAATGTTCATAGAAAAAAATTTTTAATTGAAAAAAGTAAAATAAGAATTACTAAAATTCTTACTGTCGAAATTCTTCTTTTTCTTGTGCTAAACGTTTTTCTTCAGCAACTTTTTTATTTTTTTCACGTTCAAGTTCCGTCTAAATATTTAAAAATTGTAATTTAGTTTTTTTTTTATTAATATTATATTGATTATAGAATAAAAATTGTTTATTTATTTACTTGAATTTTTTTCAAACGTGCTTCTTCTTCTTTTATTTCTTGTTCAGCAAGAACTTGTTTTAATCGACGAAATTCACGATCAATTGATGAAACAAGATCATTGTAGGCATTATCAATATGTGTTGAATTCATAGATTTATTCTAAATAGAATATTAAAAAAAAGAAGAGTTTAATACAATTTCGATTTTATTAATTGATGTTTATTTATAAAGTTTTCAATATTTCTTTCGCTTTTTCTCTATCTATGCTTTGTTGATTGTAAGACCTAGAATACTCAATAAACGTTCGTGCTATGCATTTGACCTTTTTCTCGTTTGAAAGAACATGTCAATATATTGGACATGAAACAGTCCCTTATTTTAAATAAAGCTTTATTACAATTAGATAATGAAGTAGTTTTTATAATTAGCATCATTTTTTCAAATAAAAAAGTTCTGCAAAACGCTGCAATATGATATGATCCTTCAAATAAAAAAATCCATTAAATCAATAGAACGAGAACCCACAGAAAATTTCAGATTGCAAAAGGAGCTTGTTTTACTTTTGTCTATGGAATATATTCCGAAAATGTCCTAGCATAAGGCTGAAAACTTCATGCAATTTGAATGTAACTGGTGTTATATCGATTTTTGAGGAGAGTGAGTGTGGTCTTAATACTAAATTGTAAGTTGTAATAATATATATTCAGAATCTGTTTTTATTATATTTAAGAAAAAATATGCACAAGAAAAGTTCATAGACGTCTATTGATTGATCAATGAATGTACACGGGTATGAGTGGTAATCTTGTCTAGGCACGCAACTAAACCTAATGCTAGCATTTCAATATTTCAAACTTATTTCATTGATTATGAATTATATTGATAAATTATCGCATCCCAAATATAGACAGATGCCTATCTCTGACAACCAAATGAACAATGATGCAATGAATCATCTGATTTAATAAAAAACTGAAAGAAAACTAAAAGATAACCTAAAAGAATTGGGTTAAGGTTTTTGAATTGTTTCTAGCACGTAGTTCAATACCGTTGTCGAAATATATCTTTTGACATTCTTTAATATCATTTTCCTACTTCAATTCTCTATCAATAGAAAAATGTTGTGTCATGTAGTTGAGTAAATACGAGTATTTTTCATTATTCAAACAAAAATGACTGAAACAGTTTGGTACATCTATAGTCCTTCTTCATTTCGATTCATACTAACATTCTTTTGACTTCAGTTTTGTGCATACTGAACGTTTTTGTACTTATCGTTCATAAATCATTTCGTTTGTTGCATTATGAGCATAGAATCGCTGAGAATCTGGATAACCAAATTCTGAGTTGAAGTTTGGTCTAAAGATAGATCTTAGAGTCATTCGGAACATCTTAAAGTTTAAGCTAGAAAACACGTATTCGAATCGAGATTTCACCTAGTCGTAGAAACGTTCTTCTTTTCAAACACAGTTGATAACAGGCGTTTGTTTAAAAGTTTACACTTATGTTTATTCTAGTTCAAATTTGAAGAATATTTCTAGTCAATATAAAGTCTATCTGTGGAAAAAAAAATTCAGTATTATAGAGAAAAAATCGGGTGAAACACTCATAATTCAATAATTGAAGACTGGAAAACGATGATCTCTACTAAGTAAACATAATAGAATATAAATAGATTTTCTTGATAAAACTAATCTATAATTTTATATAAAGAAATTATAAATGAAACATACTGTAATTTCATGCATTAATTGATCAATTCGTTGTCTTAATTGGTGTACTTGTTTAGAAACTTGTTCTTTATTCACTTTCATTTGTCCAACAATTTTTTCCATTGAAGCAACTTGTTCATGTAATGCCTTAACTTTAACTAAACCTCGAATTCTAAGCAAAGAAAAAATCAACAAAGAATAAATATTAACAAAATACATTTGAAAAAATTTTTCATATATCTACCGTGGTGCATAACGTTTATAAACTAAATGCATACGAACATGTTTTTGAATATCAATTAAACATTGACGTCGATAAAGAATTTTATTTCGAACTAAATAATAAAAATAAAAATGTTTGCCAAATAAATTAGTTCTGTTTTTTTTTTTGTCTTCTAAATTAATTTACGTTTAATAACAGATAGAACACACCATTGAGCTTTTTTCCATCGTGTCCATAAAAGCCATTTTTTAACTTTTGATATAAGTATAGCTAAATTATTGGGATCAGATTTCATAATTTGATCAAATTCAGCAAATTTTCCCGGACGAAAAAAAACTTTAGTCAAACCAAATTTAAAATCTGTATCACGAAGATTTAAAGCTTTAAATAATGCTTTACAAAAAAGACGTGGATCAAGTCGTGCTAATTCTTTTGGTAAATATGATTTATACATTCCATATAATTCAGCAAATTGTGTACGTGATGGAAAACCTTGTTGCATTAAATCTAACACTGATACCATACCTATAGAAAAAAAAAGACAATATTTACTGCAATTATAGAAACTATATTCTGAAAGTCTTACCGCTACATTGTAATTGACTTAGAATTTGACCACCTTCAAATAAATTTGAAACCATTTTGAGATTTGGTTTAATACAACGAATAAAACTAATACCCTATTTGAAATTTAAAACAATATAGAAGAGTTTTTAAATATATTTCATCACATAGAGTGAAATTGATCATGATCGAATTTCAGATTTTTGAGAATCATCCAAGGTAGTATTAATGCGACTTTTTTGTATTGAAGTAATTTCACAAGAAAGACTGGTATTCCTTACAGAATTCTCTAGATCTACTATTAAATAAAAAGAAAACTCTTCATTTGTTTATTTATCATCTTAATAATAAAGTAAATCAGTTAGATATTTTTCTACCTAGGTATACAACGCTTTTGTTGCACAACCAGAATTTGAAACTAGGAGAATTCAGCTTCTTTACACTTTAAAGTTCAATTAGATTTGTTTTCTTCTCAAATCTGTGATTCTATCAGCCTTAGAATATTTCCGGTCTTTTCAATGTAGTCGAAATTTTTCTGCTCCTTCAACGTAATACAAGGCTGCTATGGCTAAGTTGCTGTGTTGTTCAACACGTATCCACAAGATACTGTAGTTAAACTTCAGCACCATCAACCATGGAATTACCTTGGACCAGTCACAAACGCCTATTTATCTTAGATCAATCGTTCGATAGCATGCTGACCTTCCGTCTAGACTATAGCTGGCATTAGTTGTAAGGTAGACTTAACATTGACTTGCATAAGTTAACGCTCAAAATCATAGGGTGCTGAACTTCTAGATTATTCTATTTTGTAACAATATAAAATCATATTATTATTGAATTCTTTATTCCAGCAAGACTAATCAGATAAAATAATGATTTGTTTACTTACAGTACTTCGTAATTTATTCATAAGATCAGCTAATTGTGAACGAAATTTTGAACCAACAGAAATAAAATTTAATTTTCCTGCTGATTGTTCATGTTCGGGTGCTTTGGGAAAAAGATTTTTAATGAAACTATTTCTTGATTCTTGAACTAGAATAAGTAATGATGTATGTAATGCATCATTATTTTTTTCAATAAATTGTGCCTAAAAAAATTTAAAAAAAAGAAACAAACAATACTTTCTATGTACATAAATAGTTTATATTATCATTAAATACATACAGTTGAATAAACAACACTACCAGCAAAATGTTGAACTAGAAAACCTTCATCATCACGAATTTCACGTGATGCACGTAATTTAGATTTTCGTGGAAACTGAACAACCACAACAAAAAATAATAAATCAATACAATTTAAAAAAAAATTTATTCTTTTTTACATCAAGTCTTGGATGGCCTTTATTACGATTATGAACTTCCGTTGTAAAATGTTCTGGTCGTGGTGTTGGTAATTTACTTTCTTCATCTAATAAATCAAAACAACCAGTTGTTTTTGCTTCGATTAAATCTAAACATATTACATAATAAATTCAATATACATTTATAAAATAATAAAAATTCAAAACCAAATATTTTTCATTTATCATGCAAATAATAAAAAAAAAAGCTGAAGTAACGACGTAAACATGCTGTTTTTCACACATTTTAAACAGACTCGTGAGTATTATTGGTTTAAAAATTAGCAAATTAATATAATATGTTATTGTGAATTGTTGAAAGTAATTATAAGCTCAAACAGATTGTTATAATAGAAGTATTTTCAACATTTATCATTCCTTCGAAGGATTTATTTATGTATTCAAGATCACTCGAAAAAAACAAACAACTCTTCTTCTTTCTTTTCAAGTTCAAAGAAAAATCCGACTGTATTTTTGTTATATCTTGCAATAGATAAACATTTATAATTCTCGTTTATTAGTTTTTTAAATTTCATTCAATAGATTAACGATAAATCAATTCATGTACTACAAAAAAAAATGTCATCAAAATGTTTTGTTTATTTAAGTCTTTTCAAAATGTGACATACTCTTTCTCTCTCTCTCTCTTTCTTTTATATGAAGCACTCGATAAAAACATCTCATAATGTGAAGCAGGCCATTAAAGCCTTTAAAATATGACCTTTGCTACTTCATCTTTTGTGTTATAGTTCTTCTATACTAAAAAGTACTATTTCTTTTCTTTTAATTCAATCCTTCTAAGATAAAATGACATGCAATACACAAATTTGTCTAAATAAAGACTTCATATTCGTCTTTTCTATTGATATGTCATAATTAGTTTTTTGCTTTTTTTTTGATAGGTGCAACATTATTTAACATTTTTTTTGTTTTGTTTTGGTTATCTTAAATAATTACAAGCTTATATTTGAAGCCAACATATTTCTCTAATTACTCATATTTCATATATTCTTTATAATGCTCATGCAAAATACACAATAACAGACGTAAACACACACCCACACAGACACACAAATGTAGTTAAGAAAAAAAATTGGCCCCTACCAAGCTCCTATTTAATTTAAAATAAAGAAGAAAATAAAAGACGATAATAATAAAATAAGAAATTCAATCAACATACCAATACAATCTTGATTATCAATATAATTAATTTTTTTCAAACCAAGACCTTCTTTTTCATATAATAATTGTTCTTCTTTAAGTATACGTTCATTAAAAAATTGTTGTAATTTTTCATTACAATAACTAAAAATAAAAACGAATATTAATAGTTGACTTTTTCTTTTTTTTTATTATTATTATCATACTTAATACAAAATTGTTCGAATGAATTTATAGGAAAATATTCAAAACCAGCTATATCAAGAATACCAATATATGATGTAGATGAACTAAATGGTATTGATTTATTAACAAATGTAACTATTTGATCAAATAATCGAATATATATTGCTTTAGCTAATGCATCACGTGCATTTTGAGCTTCATGAACTTTTAATGGAACACTAATAAAACACAAAAAAATAAATTATTTGAATTTAATATAAAAAAAAAAAGAAACTTTTAAGGCGATTTCTGCGGGATTAAAATATAAAATACGATGTAGTTGCTGTTGCTTATTACAGGCAGAGTGTTTTTTTTCGGGACATATTTCTGTAACCATCCTTTTAATCTACCAGAAATGCAATAACGAAATAGTTCATATATTTTTAATATACGGTCTATGGACAGAGACTTCACGTTTTATCTCGATACTTCAACGCTCCTCTTAGATCGTGTTTAACAAAATTTACTTACGGAATAACCGTTCCTTTACTACTACTAGTTGTTTTTGTCATTAAAACTCTTGTTATTAATGCATTACGTAAATCACGTTGATCAAGACCAAGCATTTCGGCTGTTATACTTAATGATTTTTCTGTTGCTGATGTTACTTTACAACCACCTTTTGTACTTTCGGGATCATCTTCAAAATTAATATTTCCAACATGTAAAACAGCTGCAACTGTACTATAAATATTGAATTTATCTTGTGTTGTTAAACCCATTTGATCCATTGATTCATCACATTCATTAAAATCATTAACATCATCTAATTGTGGATCACGTAATGCACCTTTTGATATAAACTAAAAATAGAAAGAAAAGAACATATTTTTTTGTTTATTTTAATTCATCATAAAGAAACAACAACACTGATGACAATAGAAATATCTTACATCAAGAAAATTTTTCTATTCAAATAATAAAAACAATAAAAAAAAAAAAAAAGAAAAGATGTTCCTTTTTTTGTTTTGTTTTAAATTAATTTATTTATTCATATGACTTACATCTTGACTTCGACGTGTTTTTGATAAAGATTTTTCTGTTTGACTATTACAAAAATATTGTGTACAACCACGATTAAGATACTAATATAGAAGCAAAGCAAAAAAAATCAAAAAATTTTAATAAGAAAGAAATTTTTTTGTTCTCATTTTAATAAACAAACATGATAACTATCTGGTGATGTAAGTCGTAATGCACTTCGAATAGTTTCAGGTGCACCAGCACATAAACGATAAAATATATGATAATTTCGTTCATCTTTTGATTGAACACATATACGAGATTTTTCAAGTAAATAATGTGATATATAACCACCAACAACACGATGCTAGAAAAAAAGATATTTTTATTTGTTTTCTTTTAATTTAAAACTCATTTTTTCGAAATACTTTATCATTAAAATGAACTTCAATAAATTTACCAAAACGACTTGAATTATTATTACGAGTTGTTTTAGCTAAATATTCAGGTTTTTATTTACAAAAATAACAAAAAAAAAAAAAGAATTTTCTTTTTTTTTACCATTGCCAAATGCTTCTAATAATGGATTGGCTAAGTAAAAACAAACAATAAAAAACATGTAGTAATAAGAATTTTATTTGATTTATTTTACATTTATTTATACGATCTTCAATTTGACCATTATGAGCACCGTATGATTCAGTTAAATATTGTAAAACATATTTAGCTGATTCAGTTTTACCTACAAATATAAGGAAGTAAAAGTCATGATTAAATAAAATTATCCTACAAACCAGCTCCGGATTCGCCTGATATTATTATTGACTGACTTTGTTTGGTAGAACGCATATCACGATATGCTTTATCACCTTAAATATAAAAGAAATAATATTTATATTATATTATTTATGATTAAAATTTCGGATTAATTCAATTTTCTTTAGATATTGAATGATATAACAATTGTTTGATCTGAATGAAAACTTTGACTGAAGTTCATATCTAATATTTTCATAATTTTTAGATTGAACAAAATTTTAATTCTGCACCTATTAATTATTTAGTTTTCAATAATATTTAACAAATATTTACTTTGTTAGATGGACTACAGTGTACTTTTAAGATTGATGAATGAAAATAATCTTTCGAATATTCTTAGATTGTCACATCATATAAATATTTTACTAACGTTAAGAAAATTTTTTAATATTTCTCTTTTGAAACATATCTGAGAAATATATAGAGTTTGTTTGTCACTGAATACAAAAAAAAGCTAGAAAAAATTATTAAAGTACGATTCGATCAGATATGAGAAAATTTGGATAAGACGAACACTACGGATAGCCGTATAAAGACAGTCAATCTTTGAGTTTTACGGCATCTTATTGATAAACTTCACTGAATCTCTTGAAGATCATATTTAAAATATCTTGTTTCATAGCAGGAAGTCTTCTATTTGTGATACTCTTTCACCTCATATCTTCTACTAAGTCATGATTCACATTATTCATTCAAAAATTTTTTTTTTGTTGTGTCAAAATTCTCAATAACCTACCAATGGCATAAACATGTGGTGGCATAATACCAAGTGATTTTCCATTATAGCTTTTGATAGCATTACTTGAATACCGACCAGATAATTCTTTATATGGGTTAATTGCAATTAAAATATTTGCTACATAAGTCTAAAAGATAAATTTGATTTGAAAGAAAAATCTTTTTTTTTTGTTTTTTAGTTTTCTATTTTTATCATACATAAATTAAATCTTTTTTATAACGACGACGAACATTATTTAATAATGTTGCTTCATTAAGATACATAAGGGCACCTTCGATAGAAAAAGAAAAAAAAAACATTAATTTAAAAATTTCAATAAAACAAATACAAACAATTATCATCAACATCTTTATCATATTCTTCTGCTTGAAATGCTGAATCGTACGGTACAACTAATTTCTATAAAATAGAAATAAAAAGATTTATTCTTTCAAATTTGATTCTTTTTGTTTTTCAAACCTTTCTATTTTCATTCAATTGAACAGTAACATTATCTGAACCAATATCGGTTATTTTACCAAGAAGAAAGCCATGTTCATTATCTCGTACCCAAATAGGTTTATTATCATTGAGTGCGAACATATTAAAGATTTCAAATGGCTACAATTTTCACTAGTACAATAAAATATATCTAAAATATACATAGAATGTCGAAGTAAGAACAGAAGTAAATATTGATCGAACGAGAGTAAAACACGCCCGACTGATATCTGAGTAAACATATCATCATTAGACTTTTTTTTTTCTTCTAGTTGTGACACTTACTAACATCTTCTATTGGTTCATAGATACGAACCAATCGAACAGAAATTAAATAAAAGAGGCAATTTTTTAATATTTTTTGAAATTGAATATTGTTTAAAAAATGTTTTCTGTATAGCTTTATTTGACATTGGTTTAGAATTTCAAATAGATTGTATACTATTGACTGTGGCGCTTAATCGATTTGTAGTTCCCATTTTAAATTCAAGCAAAACTATTCTTTTCTTAAGTTTAATTGATTGATTTTTAATGATGCATGAACAAACGACAGCTGCAAAAGAAAAAGGTATTTTTGCGTTTCATTAATAGGCAAACAAGTTTCTAATTTATATGATGATAGAAAATGAAAAACAGCACCATCCGTTATTTTTCTTCAAAGGCCACACAGTTAATATTAGACTAGAGGTGAAAGCATACATATGAATAGAAATATTATTATTTTTGGATTTGCTTTTGTATATATGTATATTATTTTTTTTTAAACATATATAGAAATATCAAAGTTGGCGGCTTATGGTGATAGTGAAAATTTGAATATTTGTCCGGATATTGTCGGTTCTTTTTATTATAAGTTTTGAGATAAAGAAAAGAAAAGTAAATGTCGATGAAAATTGAATATAATCCATATCGAATAAATCTTTTATTTTACATAGAAAAATCAATTGTAAATGATGAAACAAAACCTATACTGAATGTATATAATAATAATAATCAAGAAAAATGGTATATTGTAGCAAGACAACTTGTTCTTCCGTTTATGATTTCTGGATTTGGTATGGTTGCTGCAGGACTTCTACTTGAACGTACGAAGGTATCCATTTATATATCAGAACAAACGTTCCTATATGAAAAGATAAAAATAAGTTCGATAGATTACCTAAAAAATAGAGATGATGACTGTAGCAATCTTCAATACATGAGAATTTTTGTCACTTAAAGAAATACATTCTTTTGAAGAAATCTTCAACTTCCTGTAGATTTATTAGTTAATTTTAATAAAAGAAGAACGAAACAATACTTGTATTATACTAATTCAAAGAGCGTAAAGAATGTCAGAGAGAATAACATCATGTTCTTTTCACTTGATATGACATAAAAACACACTTCTTTATGTTGTATGGAATTTCAATGATGACAATTGACAAAGTAGAATTTATTCAGTTTAAAATGATAGAAAAATTCTATATGTTGAACAAAATAGATCCATTAGATTATACTTTAATTTTAATATTTTTAGGAATTAAAAGTATTTCAAGAAATAACAGAAATTTATATACTTGTTCCAGCTTTACTTGATTTAAAAGGTAATTTAGAAATGACATTAGCTTCTCGTCTATCTACACAGGTATGCTTTGAAGTTTTATTATTTGTTTCTTTTTTCTTTTTTGCATTTTATAAATATAGGCAAATATTGGAAATATAGATAAAATATGTAAATTTAAAGATTTATTTATTGGTAATGTTATTTTAATACAATTACAAGCTATTGTTATTGGTTTTCTTGCTGCGCTTGTATCAATTCTTATAAGTTGGTTATCACAAGGTCATTTTAATATTCGATATGCTCTTATTTTATGCAGTAGTAGTGTTTCAACAGCAACAATTGCTTCAACAGTATTAGGTATGTAGAAATAGATGTAGTTTATATTAAAAATTTATACAAAAATTTATTGATTTTTATTTTTAGGTGTAGTTATGATAATAGTTATCGTCTTATCTCATAAATGTAAAATAAATCCAGATAATATTGCTACACCAGTGGCTGCATCACTTGGTGATCTTACAACTGTTGTTGTTCTAGCTGGTGTTAGTCAATTTTTATTTCAAATCACTAGTATGTAAAATTTTTCATATAACATATTTATATATATATTTTTTTTTCTAATTGGATATGTCAAGATTTTCGTTCATTGTTACTAATGATCATAATAGTGTTTTTTTTAACTCTAATACCAATTTGGACAATGATTTGTGCTCGAAATGAACATGTTAAAGACGTACTTATCCATGGATGGTATGTAAAAAAAAAAAATTTAGGAAAAAAATTTTATTAGAAAAATCATTTTTTTTAGGTCACCGATAATAGCTGCAATGTTTATATCAAGGTAGATATTCACGATTATATTATAATTGTTTCATTAATGTTGATTTAGTACGGGTGGTTTAATTCTTGCTTTTGCTGTTCAAACACTTCATGGTATCATTGCTTTTCAACCTGTGATGAACGGTAACCAAAAAAAAAAGAATCTTTTTTATCAATAAAATTATTTATTTAATTGTATGTTAGGTGTATGTGGTAATCTAGTAACTGTACAAGCAAGTCGACTATCTACTGCTCTTCATCAACAAGGCAAACCGGGAGAATTTCAAAATGATGAACAACATACTGCTTCGACAGATTGTCCGAATCCATATAAATTGTTTTGTTCTAGAGGTATGAATACAGTGCTATATAGTATGAAATCAGCTAGATATATACCAAATTTTTTTAGCTAATGCTTCATGCATAGTACGTCTTTTATTATTCATGGCTATACCGGGTCATTTAACATTCCTATTTATTATTTGGCAATTAGCTGCTAATCATATACAAATTTCATTTCTTTTTATTTCTCTCTATCTGATTGCAGCACTTATTCAAGTAGGAAATTTTCTTCATTAATAAAATACTATTTCAAATATTTCATAGGTAGCTGTTCTTCTTTATATTGCTCAATGGATAGTATCGTTTGTTTGGAGACATCGTAGAGATCCAGATAATGTATGCATACCGTATTTAACATCTACTGGAGATCTTTTGGGTACTGCTCTGCTTACATGTGTCTTTTTACTGCTTGCATAAACTGGTTGTATGTACCAATATTATGAAAAAAAAAAAGGTTGATTCTTATTATTTGTTTATTTTTATGGTTCTTAATGGATTATTTTTGTTTTTATGTATTTTATTATGAGATTTATCAGGGACAATGGAATGAATAAAAAAAATATTGGGATTTGTTATATTTAATTCATCTTGAAATGTAAGAAATTCGAATATATGAGTGCATATTTTGGTCATAAGAATATTTACTTAATAAAAAAAATATTTGAATCATATCATAGAGCGATTAAAATTTTCAATAATTATGAGAATATTTTTTAGTATTCTGATCTGTAATATTTTGAGAAAATCTAAAGATGCACTTTATCAACTCGATGCTTTTCAAGGTTAATCATATTTTTTTTCAATAGCAATAAAATCTATTCATTCAAGCAGCGCCATACGCATCAGAACAATAATTAAAAGAAAAACGATTACAGAAACAAATAATATATACCATTATATTCTTTTATTTTCACAGATGGGCAGATATATGTGCCCCTATTTGTGTAGGCTTGATAAAACATTTTTGTTTGTACGTTAAATTGTATGGAATTTTATGGAATGAAAAATTAGATAGATATGAAAGAATTTTTATCTTAATAATCATATTTGTCTGAGCAAGTGAATTAATAATTCTTGTTAAATTTTATACTATTAATATGTCTTTAGATATTCAATCTGATTAATTTATTTCATTTAATATATAATTTGTGCGTAGTTAAAGTTGCGGAGCAGAATATATTTAATTTAAGATCAAATATGATAAATTGTTGAATAAAATAATGTCAAGTTAATGATGTGCACTGTTTTATTTGAATACTAATCAGTTTTTTGATCATAAAAATACATTTTCTTGACAGAAGAGTAATTTATTGCAGAATTGATTTGAATGTAGAATGCTGATATTAAACAGTGACTCAAAAGTTTCGATTCTTACAGTAAATTAACGTTATCTAAAGGAATACATACATAAATAGTAGACTGAACTATACAGATTTATAGAGAAAGATTGAAGCAATAATTTAAAAAGAAAATCATTCGAATTCTATCGATATCATGAAAAGTTATAATTACTTTGTTGACCATGACTAAACATTTTACATCTTACATTTTCTACAAGCACAAAATATTCTTGTAACATTTGAAGGGAAATATTGTCTTCTAGCGACACCAAATTTAAAGGAAACGAAAAAGATGAATAAAAATTTCATATATCCAGCATTAGAGAGAATAAACTCAATTATTAATAACTTTAGTTGATCTACCGTTTCATCTGTTCATATGACTCGGAAAGGTTATTTTCGGCTTTAGTATGTCATACTACATCTCGAAACATCATTTATCATTCGCTCAATTAATATCATGGAACATTAAGCATACTCTCTTCTGCAACATATGAAAGCGTTTTATTAATGTGCCTGGTTTTCTTCATGTTTTATATTGAAAACAGGATCAAAATTGTAGAACTTGTCGAAATCTATTGAGTTATGTAAAAATGTCTAGAATTAACTATTTTACTCAACTTTAATCACTAAGATATTGTAAGAATAATTTTACTTTTGCCAGAAAATGTAAGAAGTGAAATACTTAGACATATTTAATAAAGAAACTAACCGTGTATTACCTCGATATAATTCGAACTATATACTTTCGCAAGATGATAGCTTTTAAACTTTCTCTACAAAACTGTGCATTTCAGTCAGCTATCAATGTATGTATTTTATATAAACAACGCCAATCAACAGAGAGGAATCCAAATCTTTTGGACCATTCTTGATTTTATTTTGAAACAAGAATTATGAACTGCTTGTGGATCGTGTTTCACAATAAAGAGATCTTATATTATTGCAACAAAATCCAACTATTCGTATGTTACGATCGACTATCTCCCATCTTGTTTGAAGCAAATGTCTTGATCAGTTTGAGTCAAGAGAAAGCATGCTTATATAGAGATGAA